TCTGTCTCGTCTTTCAGCTCTCGCCTGAGTTCGTCGAGTGCCTGTCGGTGCTCTCTTGACATGTCCTCAACATTGTACTTGTGTTTCCGCTGTTCGCCCTCCAAATCCAGGGTCAGTTGCACTACCTGTCGTTGCAGGCTGTCGAGCTCGCCCTGCAGCTGCACATTCCTGTTGTCAAGCTTTTGCTTTTCTCGCTCCAGATCGCTGACTGTCTGCGGATTAACAACTAACCAATAAACAGCCAACAAACCCTACTCACCTCGTGTCTTTGCCATATCCACCGCGTCTTCCAGCGTCTTCCGATCACTCAGGGACGTAGTCATGGCCTCCTTCATAGCCTTGAACTGGCTCTCGATACCGTCTAACCTCTCGTCGACATCCCAACCTGTGAATGATGTTAAATTTGAGTCTTTGGTAAGGTAAGGTAGTTTTGTAGGAGAAGGGGATTTGGTGGGCGAGTTCCGAAGTCGCCGAGCGCTCTTGATCGCTGTCCCTAGCTTCTCAAACTCGACTTCGAGATTCTTGTCGGGACATGGGGTCTTTGGCTGTGCGGCCGTCTTCTCGCGGTTTGGTGTCTTTGGTTGGGAGGGACTTGCAGACTTGACCTGCCCCCATAGTTGCTTTTGCTCCCGCCAGTTGACGACAACCCCTCCCTTAGTACCGGCTCCACGCGGGTGAAGTGACATTTGTTGTTCTCGCTTGGTAATCACTTGACCACCTTTGGGAGGTTCTCCCACTGCATCGTCAACGGAGAGGTTGGCCATAGCCTTGCTGAGGCCTAACTCATCCCTTGGTCGTTCAGAGGGCTGTAGAAGAGAATCTAAAGAAACAGACCGGCGAACGGGTCTCCTGACACTGAACCGAAGAGAAGATGAAAGCTTCGTACCATTGGGTTGTTGCTGACCCTGTACTACTTCGCCCTCTATCCCACGGTCGCCCATCGCGGTTACTGGTCGCGAGCGTGTTGTCGCTCGCGGACGGCCGTATGTCGACTGACCAAAGTTATTGCCCATTGATGTCCCGGGTCTTGCATTCGTTGGGGGCGGTCGACTCCCTGGTCCAAGTGTCTGTGAGAAGTTGGTGACGGGAGGCCGTGACGTCGGGGCATATCGAGAGGAAGCCGTCGTGGCAGTAGGTGCCTGAGCCTAAGTGAGAAGGTCAGTGGTCTGCGAAGCACGATCGCAAAGCGCATTGTGGAGGCAACACCCACGTGAGATCCCGCTAGGTTCGCGATCGAAGTGCCTTTGATAGCCGGCCGGATAAGAGATGACGCCGTCACTGTCGGTGGAGGAATGGAAGGCTTGTTCGCCGCAATTGGCTCCCCTGCCCTTTCGGCCAGCGTCTTTCGTTTCGCTTCGGGTTGCGTTGCTACAAGACACCAACAAGTCAGCGGCAAGCTCGAGCTGTGGGACGGGCGTCGGCATACTGGGTCCTGTGTATGCGCGCTTCATTCCCTGAGCGGCAGCCACTGTACGGGATCGCGCATTGCTCTCCGAGTCGGTCATCTCTTGGAGGCCCATTGTTGTCGAAGAGGGGACGGCAGCAGAGTACTGGCTGGGCGGACGAAGCCCTGAGGGTTTCTGGCGGGGAAGTAAAGAGTCAGTCGGGATCTGACATTCGTGCGCGACAGCACAACATACCATGTTTTCGGTTCTGCTCTCCATTGTGAAGGCGCGCATGCGAGGGAGGAGCACGTGGTGGAGCAGGAAACACGAAGACAGGAGCAAAGCTCCAGGCGCAGATGAGCTTGGTGGCGACGTTGTGGCGGCCCTTTCCGAGCACGATTATTATGCTCTTCTCCCCAATTGGTGTAGCGTGGATCCCCAGTTGTGAAGCCCAGAGCGTCTGGCTTGTTTACGTCTCCAGCAGCAACGGGGTTAGCCAATGATGTGCGCGATGGTGGGGCAGGCGAGAAAGGCCATGGGCCACGGCTTGGCATCCAGCGCAACAACAGAGCCGCAATTCGAGATGGACTGATCGGAAAGCCACGATCAGACCATCAGTCTTGACCAAAAAAACCGGCCTGCTTGACGTTCCAACTGATGGGATTGATGTGCCGGATATGTATTCAGACGATAGAGACTGAAGAGAGTTCCAATAACGACAGACACGGAGCTAAGCCCTATAGGAGCAACAATAGAGCATGGGAAAAGAAACTCGATGCCTATCGTACGAAAGATGATGCAAAAAGCAAGCCATGGAGGACGGTCACTCCGAGGGCAAGTTTTTGCTTGTGGCTATGATAGAATTGCGACCGAAGGAGCGTGCCATTCGCTTCCACGAGTTCGAGAACAGGGGATAGGGTTATGTATGGGTCAGCTCTGGCGGGAAACCACTTTATTGGAACGCGACTGCCAACGTCAACGCGTCTCGCGTCGTGCCCCTCCAGGCTTCTGTTCCAATATTCTAGCACACATCGGTGCAGTTCCTCAAAAAAACCCAGACTTGACATAGAATCTTTCACCCTCTGCTCCAAACAAAATTGTCAGAGCCCTCACGATGCCGCCAAAGACGAAACCGGAATCGAATGGCGAGTCTTCCACCGCAGCCGCCAAGGCAGTCTCCAGTGCAAACGGGACTGCCACCTACGAGCTTCCTTGGTATGCGCTGAGCAATCATGTTCTTTGGGACCCAACTGACCACCGCCGATTGATAGGGTGGAAAAGTACAGACCGGTTTTTCTGGACGATGTGGTCGGCAACACAGAAACGATCGAGCGATTGAAGATCATCGCGAAAGATGGCAACATGCCGCATGTTATCATCTCGGGCATGCCCGGTATCGGAAAAACCACAAGTGTCCTCTGCCTTGCAAGACAATTACTAGGAGACTCGTACAAGGAGGCCGTCTTGGAACTGAACGCCAGTGATGAACGTGGTACGTTGGTTCTCTTAACCGCAAGTTTACAGTAGCCAACCATCATCTTCTTGACAGGCATCGAGGTCGTCCGACAGCGAATCAAGGGTTTTGCACAGAAGAAGGTCACGCTTCCCCCAGGGCGACACAAGCTTGTTATTCTCGATGAAGCCGACAGCATGACATCCGGTGCGCAGCAGGCGCTGCGACGGACGATGGAAATCTACTCTAACACAACACGATTCGCCTTCGCCTGCAATCAGTCCAACAAGATTATCGAGCCCCTACAATCACGATGCGCTATCCTGCGCTACGCCAAGCTGACCGACGCCCAAGTCGTGAAGCGGCTGCTGCAGATCATTGAGGCCGAGAAGGTCGAGTATAGCGACGATGGACTTGCTGCGCTCGTCTTCAGCGCCGAGGGAGATATGCGACAGGCTATCAACAACCTGCAGTCCACCTTTGCCGGTTTCGGGTTTGTGTCGGGAGACAATGTCTTCAAAGTCGTCGACTCCCCACACCCCATCAAGGTCCAGGCGATGCTGAAGGCCTGCTACGAGGGCAACGTCGATTCGGCGCTCGACACGCTTCGCGAACTCTGGGATTTGGGATACTCGAGCCACGACATTATTAGCACTATGTTCAAGGTGACGAAGACAATCCCGACTCTGAGTGAGCACTCCAAATTAGAGTTCATCAAGATCATTGGCTTCACGCACATGAAGATTCTGGAGGGTGTGCAGACGCTTTTGCAGCTCAGCGGCTGTGTTGTTCGTCTGTGTAAACTCAACATGGACCCCAAGAAGTTTCAACTGCCCACGAAATGAGCCAGGAAGAGATGGAGAGGCAAAAACAATGAGATACCCATGGGGCTCGCAACCGTTTTAGGCGTCAGGTTGAGAGGCTTGAGACGGGTCACAACAGATAGCATCACGGCACCTATGTAGTCGAGATGGTGTTACATTTGTATGTACAGACACGTCGCCAGCAAGAGGGCGGACCTGCTCTATCCCCCAAAATAATACAAGCGATTATTCGCAATCCAAAACCAGTGCAACATGCTCAACCCAATCACTCGTCATCCTCCTCCTTCCCGTACTTCTCCTCAAAACTCTGCCACATGGCCTGCTCCCTCATCAACCTCCGGCGCATCCGCATGCTCGCCTCGTACTCTCGCAGTCTCGAATCCGCCTCAATCATACTTCCCAGCACCATCCCTGACATCTGAATATACCTGCCAGCAAATCAGTATAGCCCATCGCACTCACAAGAAGTGGTACCTACACCTTGAACTGCAAAGTTAACCCCCTGTATATCGGTGACAGCGCATACCCAAGGCCGCCGAGCACCGCCGTCGCGATTCCCCACTTGGCCGCGCCGTAGGTTGCGCCTCGCGCTGCTTCCCATGAGGCCTCAGTCGCTTCCGCATGTTTGGTTACGTCGTGAGAACGCATGGTGTATTTCCCCTGGTACGTATGTCCCGCGTAGTGGCGTTCGCATTGAGCTGTCAGCCGTCAAGGTGAGTGAGTGAGGTGTGTGAAATCCTCCACTGCGTCGTCGGGATTACTTCATATAATCCAGTATATCATTTCAATCAAGGTTCGTTTGATTCAATGAGTTCTCAATTGACGCCGGGAATGTTAAGCTTATAAGTCGCGACGTCTTCTCGTGAGTTGCGTCATTAGGTCGTAAAGGGCGGTATTTTGGAGATCGGCTGCGTCTGCAGCGTTTGAGGTTGCCAAGTGGGGTTCGCAACGTACGATCGCAACTCTATCCCCGGATCCGAGCCGCCGGGTTCGGCGTGCCTGATGACTTGCAGATGCAGGGTTTCGCGCGATTGTCGTGATTCTGTTCTGTTTTCGACGAGTATTCTTTCCCAGGTATTTGGTCGATGTTTCTGACTGTAATTGAGAGCCGATGAGCTTCCTGTTGCCCAGGATGTTTCGGTCTTGAAGAGCAGCATGGCGATCCCCCATACAGCGCTGAGATGACGATTCAAAGACTCTACAAACACCCTCATTCAAAATCGACATTGTTGACCCAAAAGCATCATTACCACCTCTCATCTACAACTCCTCCATCCACCACCAAAAAAAAAGAGTAAGGCCTGACTGAGGCTGCAAAAAGTGAGGACACCCTCTTGTCTCTCCCGCCGGGAATTGAACCCGGGTCTCGAGCGATGACACTGCCAGAAGGCATTGACAAGCTCACATACTGACCACTATACTACGGAAGAAGTGCGGATGTTAGTCATCCGCCGTAGTTGTAGGGTGTCCGGAACTCGGGAACGGGGAATCGAACCCCGGGCTGCTGAGTACCCAAAGTTGAGAGTCAGCGATGTTAGCCACTACACCATACCCGATTGTATGGTTGTTGAAAGAAGCTGTTGTGGAATTGGCTATGTGGTACTGGCCCCAGGAAGGGCTTGTTTTTGAGGGCTGTCTCGGTTTGTGGTCCACAACTGTGGCCTGAACATTGCATTGCCTTGCATTGCCTTGGGTTCCTGGACTTGGAATTCGGTCCCTGCATCTATTGTGTCAGATAAGGACAAGTCCGTATATCCATGAGAGGGGTTTGCACTGGCTTGAGGGCAAATAAATAGATGGTATTATTGTATATGCTTTTCCAAATGCTTGATCCCGCTCTGTGCTCCACCCCAACCCAAATCAAACGCTCAGTGTGCCCTTAGTACTGGGCACCTCCCCTTCCCTGCCAGCAACCCTGCTTGTGGCCTGCCTTATCGCCACAGCCGTTGCCTTGAAGGCGCTCTCTGCCCGGTGATGGTCATTGTCCCCCCGCAAAACGTCCACATGGAGAGTAATGCGTGCGGCCTGGGCGAAGCTCTGGAAGCAGTGGGGAATCATCTCCGTGCTGAGATCCCCAATCTTCTCCCGCTTCAACCCCGTATCTACGACGCAGAATGGTCGGTTCGAAAGATCCACGACCGCGCGGCTCAAGGCCTCGTCCAAGGGGCAGTATGCCGAGCCGAAGCGGGCGAGACCTGTTGGGGTGCCGAGGGCCTGAGCAAAGGCGTAACCGAGGGCGATGCAGACATCTTCGGCCGTGTGATGGTCATCGACTGTTGGTAAGAGATAGATGGTGAGCTTCGAACATCAAAGCAAAGGAGGTGTACTCACTGTGCAGGTCGCCCTTGCAAGCGATGGCCAGACTCCACCCCGCGTGCTTCGAGAGCGCATGCAGCATGTGGTCGAGGAAGCCAATGCCTGTGTTGATGCTGATAGTTTGCGACTTGCTTGCCTGCGTGGCGTGGCCGTCTTTGCCGAGGAGGCGGCTGTCCGTCTCGGGGGGGAAAGCCCCGCCATCGAGGTTGAGGGCGAGTTGGATCTTGGTCTCGTTGGTGTCGCGCGCAAAGGCCGCCCAGCGAGGAGGATGTGCCGAAGCCATTGTAGCGTATTTCTTCTTTGTGACTTGATACTCGGTATGGTGCCGTTGGGTCTTCAATGCCAACAGTTCCGCAACAATAGCCAATGAGTCTTTCGTCGTTGGTGATCAAGAAATTTGGGGGAGCGTTATCGGGGTCGATAAGAATCAGAGAGCCCGCTGCCCCGCGCTAGCAACCGCTGCTGGCCGGGTGCCGCCCAGCCACCCGAACCCCTGCCGGGTCCCCCCATTGACCCCACCTATCGTTCGCGATAACCGATAACGAAGTCTCGGCCAAATTTTTTGATGCTGGATGCTGTGCTAAGAGAGCTGCAGCCGACCGCGAAACTGAGCCTCAGTTTCGCAACAGTTCCTCCTAGTCGGACAGTCGATCATTCACAATGGGTACAACAAGGACGATAAAAAACAAGCACGCTGCCAACGGCAGCGGCATCAAAGGCAGCAAAGCGTCGAAGAATGGGCCCCAGCATGACGGCGTCATCAAGGCCAAGAAGAACGGGCCCAAGACACCGCAGCCAGGGAGAGGAATCAATGGCCGACCCAACATCGCCGATATCCTGAAAAAGCGCAAGAAGCGCGTGTATACGGAGAAGGAGCTTGGGATCCCTGAGCTCAATAAGATCACGCCGGTTGGTGTGACCAAGCCAAAGGGCAAGAAGAAGGGCAAGGTGTTTGTGGATGATCGGGTACGTTGCTAGCCCCTACTTATTTCTTGACGGGGTTGCTCATAGTTGGACAGGAATCTATGACAACGATCCTCGCACTGGTCCAGGCAGAGAAGGAGGGCCAGATCGAGTCGAAGATGATCAAGGCTAGGCAGATGGAGGAGATCCGCGAGGCACGACGGGCGGAAGCTGAAGCGAAGGAAGCGGAGCGCAAGGCTCAATTCGACGAGACAAAAGAGTCTCTGCGCAAGAAGCGCAAGAAGAAGCACGGAAAGGGTGGTGAAGATGAAGACATAAATGGGTTCAAGGCATCTCTTGCGGCCGAGGGGACCAAGGCCGCCAAGCCAAAGAAGAAGAGGGTATCGTTCGCCCCTGAGTAGTGGCGATGGCATTAGTGCCTTTTCGGATATACGGTACTGTTCATCTGCATGGCGTATGGCGTTTTTATCTTGGGATGTGGGGAGGTCGGTACGGCCGAGGCAAAACGAGGTCGCGATCGGATGTCGCACTTGGTGTCGAGACTAAGATTGGATCGAGATATATCTATATTTCGATTGACCGATGCAGTTTGCGCGCTTAAGTGATATCTATGCTACAGGAAATTATGATGAAATACATGAATTGTAGGGAATTGAACCTCTATGAGCGCCCGCTATGTCTGACCGTCCAACTCTATTGATTGAAGTGATGCCAAATGACATGGCAATTAATTACCCTCCGTACTACTCCAAGTCAGTAAGAATCTGTAACTTTCTCCTGACTGGGTCGAAATGCGTCTTCAGCTCGGTGTTGGCTTCCTTCCCATTGACCATCGGCTTGATGGAATCAAGATCAATCTCCGAGGCCATATAGTTCAAGAAATTGCAGATCTAATGAGGTTAGAGAACCAGAAAGACAGAACTGGGGATGTATTGGACACCTACCGGACGAGCGTGCCATCGTCCGCCACCAATCTCAAACCAGGAGAGATGTCCTCCTAGAGACGATGCGCAGAGAACCGTATACGGGTTAAGTCGGATTTCTTGGTATGGTATGGCCTCTTGGACCGCAATCTGTTGGCATTGTCAGCACACAATGGGATTTTCAACAGGACTGGGAGGCCTACGGGATCATCCTCCGCTGCAAGAATAAAGAAAGGGATCTTTATGGCCAATACAGCGTCAGATGATGAGGCATCTCGGTAGTAGGCCGTCTCCGTGGGGTAGCCCCAGGTGACAGTTCTGTAATGATGGTCAGCGTTCCCAGCTTCAACAATACCATGTCATGGAATCAGGCAACTTACTGCACCTCCCGATCAAACTCGTGAAGGCGGGTAATCTGTTGTATTTGATCGTAGTCGAGATTGGTGTATTTGAGGACAGCGTCCTTATGCTTGGCGATGAGCTTCTTCATGTTCGCTTTGAGAGGTCAGCACCATTATTGACAGAGCGAAGAACTCCAACTTACTCCCCATTACCCTCTGGTAAATGTGATGCCCGAGCGTTGACCGAGTCAATGCCTTGTTGCTTGCTTCCAAGTCAAATGGGTTGCCCACAGAGATGGCTGCCTTCAAGGGGCAATTCGCGCCCTCCTCTCCGACATACTGAGAAATGGTTAGTCTTAAAGGTCACAGGTAGCGATAATTTCTGAACCTACGTTGGTCAAAATGTTGGCTCCAAGCGAGAAGCCCATGGCAAACAGGGGCCTGTTTGGGAAAGTCTCCTTTGCCCAGCTGACAATCTGTCGAACATCCCAAGTTGCCCTGGCGTTGAATAGCACCCCACTCGTAACCTCGCTATTGGCGCATCCACGAGCGTTGACCACGCAGACTTCCCAACCCCCATCGTTTAGTACCAAGGGTGCAATGGCATGACGAAGATATTCTTCATAGGATCCACCGGAAAGTCCATGAAGCACTATAAGCATCGGCCTACTGTCATCCGAAGCAACCTGGGAAAACTCCTCTTCCGAGAAGCAGGCAGTCCGTGGGGGGAGCTTCTCATCCACATCTTCATGTTGGTTTACCGCAAAGTCCACAGCAAAGGTTCCGTTATACGTTTTGTGATTTGCATCAAAGATCCTCCTTCGGTAGTAGATTGGCGGCCCCTCATCCTTGACTGCAGTCCACATGGTCTGGAGATGGCCATTGAAAAGCAGCGGATTCAGCTGGCATGGCGGAGTTGCTTTTTGAACCACCTCCAGCAAGTCGGTTACTGAGCCGTCCTTTTTCTTCAAGGCAACAGGCGATTTTGAGTGAGTGAAGTTGATACGCGCACGGCCGAACCAGTCCATGACTTGTAGGTGTAAGGATTTCCGATTGCTGGCATAGCGTCAGCACGGCAATCGAAGCAACTATTCCGGATAGGGGTTCACAGCTTACATCTTGGCGACTTGAGGTTCACCGAGTCTGAACTCTGAAGGGACCTGCGGTGAGGGGTCAAGGGGAGAGGATGGGTGTGTTGTGGATCTAGAAGATAGCAGGGAAAGATAAAAAAGACTACTTCATTGATTTATGTATACAAGAGGATCCCCTCCCCTTCCTGAATCTTTTCCTAAGATCGACTTGTCCAATGATGGTCCTCGGCATTCTTGGTGGATGCCGAGGCATCATTCCTTGGTACGTGGGGCGATCCGCCAAGTCGGGTGGCCGAAAATGGAAGAACTAAAGAAGCGCCAAGCTGTGGCGTCGTCAGCAAGGTTGGTGAAGCACAGCCACAGATCCCTGGGTATCAGTTCAGTGGCTGCCACGACCGAAGCGCATTGGCAACCTGGAGCGCGTCAGAACTGCGACCCGCATCACTGCCATCCGTTGAGCAGCCAACCTGGACATTCGATGCAGCAGCGCGCTCACCAATTTGCCGTCGATAAATCCATGTCTACATCAACTCTCGAGTGTCGCATGCGTGGATAAGGGGCTCATCTGTTGTCGGCTGGCAAATGCGATGACATATCGAGGCACGATGCCCCCGGGATCCGTTTACGGTGGGCAGGGCCAACAGCAGCAACAGCACCCACAGCATCCTCAGTATCATTCCCAGCACACGCAACACCCACAACATCCGCACTCACAACACCCCCAGTATCAGCAGCCCGTACAACAGAATCTACACCCCCAGTACGGCGAGGCTCCGTATGCCAATGGAAATCCACAGTATCACCATGTACAGTATTCTCAGCCAACGTATCAGCA